AAGCAAAAAAATATTTAAGGAGGTACCTTTACATCTCCAAAGTCAAAACACCCATAGAAGATAACCTAATGACCATCGAGTAAATTACTTCCAGTTTTACAAAATTCGATATAAATCACAGTTTACTTATTTCTGTTTCATCCTTAATACAAAGGAAAACAACTACAAAAAAACTCATAATTGTAGCAGCACTTCACTACAACTGGAAAAAGACAAATGCAATTCACTACCAGATATTTCAGTAAAAAATCCTATGGCCTTCTGTCAAGGTTACACTATTCATTCAGATTAGTCATTTTGAAGTACTTTCAGTATTGCCTGCTACTCCACCTCAGCTTCCTCAGAATCTAATTCTGTTGAATTCCCATAATTCAGTTTTCATCTGCCATTATAATACAGAGAGTATATCAAGTGCAATCTCACATAATTAAAAAATATAAAAACATATCCTTACATGAAATATATACTTCCTATGAATTAAAAAAGAGGGGGGAAAATATTTCAGAAAGTAAAAATTGTACCAATTTAGCAAAGCTAAGAAATTATCTATCTCATAGCTTGTGTTCCTCAGAAAACCATACTTTTAGCAACAAGCTAATACAAATTATCAGACATATCAAAATGTACAAAAAAAATGATAAATAAAAAATAAAGGAAATCATTATTCTTGGTCAAAAATTTAATTTGCCAAAAATGAAGACTAACCATCAGCTATTCTTAAATCAGCGTTTACCATCCCCCTTGTGTGTAACTAATAACTGTAATCAATGATATTTGTAATGTAAATAAAAAGGAGCTACAAAACCTAGCGAAGGATGAAGACAGAATGAAATAAAATAATCTATCTTACAATCTACTGTTAAAGAGGGAACTTACCCTGAGTTACAGAATAAAAAAGTGTTTAGATTGTCTGGGAGGTATGACTGAAGATCCTTTGGGTATCTAATGTCACCATAATCAAAGTCCCATCCACAGGGATTCATGAGAGATCCTACAGTTCCAGCAACGGCATCAACAACTGCAGGATGACAATGTCCAACTGTTGAGAGATGAAAAGCAATTAGGACCATGCTTGGGCAATGAGATGATCTTAATTTACTTGCCTATACATTTAATCCCCCCTCTTCTTTTTCCACTTTTCCCTCCCTCCTTTTCCTCCTCATTCTACTTTCCTTTTCCACTCTTCCCCTCCCTCCTTTTCAAGTCTTTTTCTCCCTCTTTTTCCACCCTATCCCTCTCTCCTTTTTCACACTATCCCTCCCTCCTTTACCACCCTTTTCCTCCTTCCTTCTTGATCATTTCCTTTCCTCCTTTTCCTCTCTTTCCCTCCCTCCTTCTCCACTCTTTCCCTCCCTCCTTTTCTATCCTTTCCTCCCCTCCTTCTCCACTCTTTCCCTCCCTTCTTTTCCACTCTGTCTTTCCCTCCTCTTCTACTCTTTCCCACCCTCCTTTTCCACTCTTTCCCTCCCTCCTTTTCCCCCTTTCCCTCTCTCCTTTTCTGCCCTTTCCCTCCTTCCTTCTCCACTCTTTCCCTCCCTCCTTTTTCCCCTTTCCCTCTCTCCTTTTCTGTCCTTTCCCTCCCTCCTTTTCCACTATTTCCCTCCCTCCGTTTTCCCCTATTTCCATTTTCCTTTTGCCCTATCAGCCTTTCTTCTTCCATTCCCCCTCTTACCTTCTCCCTTCTTTACCCTTCACTCTGTCCTCCTTTTCTCCTTGCTCCCTTTTCTTCCTGTTTCCCCTCTCCTCTTACCTTCTTCCCTTCTTCTCTCCTAGTTCCCTCTCTAGTCCCCCCCCCCTCCTTTTTCTTTGATAAGAAATACTCAACAGACTCTCACAAAAGCAAAAATGTCATTTGATAATTGTCAAAAACCATAACCAAAATACCAACAAACATAATAATTGAATTTGAAGGCTATCATATCAAACCAAGCATTTCTGCTAGAAATCTAGGATTACACACTGACAGATTCATAATCTTTGAGGACACAATGACAACGTTTAAAAAAAAAGTAATTGTCACACTGACATACCTAAATCACATAAAATACAAAATCCCCACTAATATGAGAATTACTGTGGTACAACCCCCTGCATTATCAATTACTGTTCTGTCTAATAATATGTCGTTTGTGTGTGTGTGTGTTGTGTTTGTGTGTGGTTGTGTTGTGTGTGTGTGCTTTTGTGTTTGCGCGTGTGTGTGTGTGCTGTGATGTGTGTGTGTGCTGTGTGGTGTGGTGTGTGCTGTGATGTTGGTGTGTGTTTGTGTGTGCGTGTGTAGATGTGTGTTGTGTTGTGTGTGTGGTGTGTGTGTGTGTTGTGTGTGTGGTGGTGAGTGTGGTGAGCGTAATGTGAGTGTGATGAGTGTGTGTGAACCATGTGTGCGGTTGTCTTGTAGTGTTTAGTGCTGTGATGTGTGTGTGTGTGGTTATAATGTGTGACAAAAAAGTGCTGCCGATGTGTGTGTGTGTCGTGTGTGTGCTCGTGTGTGTGGGGTGTGTAG